CTCTGGAGGCAGGCAGTTCCTTGATCATGAGTTTTGACAGAGAAAGCAAGTTTCAGATGGTTCAGGTCTTCTCTGTCTCTGAGTCTTCCTCATGGCTGCTGCCTCCTCCTCCTGGGCAGTCCTTAACTTACATAGCCCTTATGACCTCATTTACCTGTTCCAATGGAGGCCAGCACCTGTTGTATGTCAGCCAACCAATTTGAAATGCATCACTAGTTCTTGGGCAGACTGGCATTTCTTAGCTCCCCAGGGAGCCCAGACCCCTCACCCAGGTATGTGATGCCAGTCACATAGGCAGAGGGAGCAGGTTTCCCCCCTCCCTCAGGAATGTATCCAGCTCAGGTTACCTAAAGAGATAGGGTAAGGTGTGTACCCTCTGCAGAGCCCATCCTAACCAAATTGTCACAGAGCAGAGTTTTTGGGGAGAAACAGAGGTGGCTTCCTGCCACACCCTCCCATTCATTCCTTTACGTTTCAGAATTTGGTTTCCCAGAAGCTGCCTGGTGGGTCATGGGAATAATGCCACCAGATTGCTAGTCAGCATCATTTATGGTCAGAACTATGACTGTATCTAAACCCTCCACTTTCATTCTTGATTAATGAAAATCTTAGCAAATGCTTTTGCTTTGGTTACTCTTGCATTTATCCAGGAATTTCACCTCTAGTGGCACAATACGAATGCCCCCAGCCATCCGTCTTAATTATGGCCCCAGTTCTGAAAACCAAGAAAGCAGAACTAGCCCTATTCTCCTTTTCCTAGTTGGAGTCTAGGCCAGTTGTCTCACTGAGGGAATGAGCATTCCTGTTCATGGAAATGGCTGTTGTGATCAGCTTTGCAGCCATGGAAAGGGACTGATGAAGCTTTTCACACCCTTTATATAAACAGCTATGGACTGTTCTGGCCCTTACTCAGGTTTGAGCTCAGTTCCTATGGGCATCTTTACATGTGGTTTGGGGTGGAGGGGATGTATTTTAATTAGAGCTCTAGTTAAAGCACCCCCCCACCATTTGGAAACATGGGGACACTGAATACATATGATGCCAAGGCTATTGACATGTTCAAATTAGAATGCACCAGCAGACTTGATTAATCGAGTCTACTCCAATGCATTCTGATTAGCAGTGGGGCATATCTATAGGTGTGCCCTATGTGCCAACAAGACACTTCGTTAATTGAGAAAGAGAGTATCACCCTGCAAATGCAGGATATGCTTACCTGGCCACACTGGCAGCCTTAACTCTGGCATTTCTTGATTTTTAAGTGCTTCATCTTGCAACGTTAAAGTTGCTTGAAACTTTTTTAAATTTAATATTTAGTAAGATTTTGATAGTTTTTTTGAGAGAATCAATACTGCTAGTGAGTTGCATCAAAAAACAATGCCCTTTTCTCTGCCTCCACTGAATGCATTTTAAAAACAAGAACATTAATAACAGTTGTAAACTAATAAGTATGAAGGCCTTTAACAGTTTGTAGCCATACTTACCCATCAAACTTAAGGTAACCCAGTCTGCTACCACATTATGGACAAACACGGATAGTCTCATTTAGTGACAGCACAGTATGAGGACAAACGAAAATGAAAATAGTTGTTTGGGAGTAGGCCATTACTTAGTCATGCAGGGCAGTCATTTCAATGCCTATGGACATCTCTTTTTAAGTAATTCATTCATTATTAGCAGATTAATTTGCAAAGGCCAGCTTCTGCCATAGGACATGCATGCATAAC